GATTTCCCCCGTCTCGCCGCCAAAATGGACTTTGACCAATATGCCATCGAGTGCAGACCGCGAGTCATCACACTACAACGGCCACTCCACCCCACCCCACCACCACCCACCCCATCCCCCGCCCTCTCCACCACCCACTCTTCCCACCACCACAATCTGTGATATCTGTTCAACAAAGATATTATCATACAGTGGGATTGAAAGACGTTAGCTGTAGGTATCCCCTCTACCACCTATACATCGTCCCACCGTAACGGCGCTCTGCTACGGCTCGTCACCCCCGCCCCGCCCCCCGGCCCCCCGCCCGCAGTCTCACCCAGTCACCCAGTCACCCACACCCACACACGCGCAGCTGCCTCGTCCACTGACCGTGCTCTCTCTCGCTCTCTCTCGCTCTCGCTCTCTCTCACTCGCTCTCTCTCTCGCTCGCTCGGGCGGGGACGACTTGCGTCACAGTTGACGTCGCATCGATACTCTACACGCTTGGAGAGTAGCGATTGCTGGAAGGCGTGGTGCTGTGAGTGAGCATGTCGCACAAGGGCTTGGAAGAGTCGGATGATGGCAGAGATGCTGGACTCGAGACTGATGATGGTGGCCTCGAACGGCATCATTCGACCTCGCAATCACGGTTGTTGCTGTACAACCCGGACGAGCCGCTTCTCCCGCATGATGTGCATGTGTTGTTTGTGGAGGATGAGCCGGTCTCACGAAGACTCGCCATTCGAGTCCTCGCCAACGAGGGCTACAAGGTGACGGAAGCTACCGATGGAGCCGAGGCGTGGGAGCTTCTGACAAGCTCGCCCGAAGAGTATACCATTGTTGTCTCGGACGTGACGATGCCGCGGGTCGACGGAACGACGCTCCTGGCTCGAATTCGGACCGACGGGCGGTTCGACGAGCTCCCTATGGTGATGATGTCGTCGACGGACGAGACGGAGGTCTGCTACCGCTGCCTCACCAATGGCGCTGACGACTTTATCATCAAGCCGATCCGGGCGCGCAAGGTAGCGAACCTGTGGCAGGTGGTGTGGAAGAAGCGAAAGGAGTCCGTAACCTCGCGCGAGCTCGCCGAGGAGCGGCGGAAGCGGCGCGAGATGGCGTCGACGATCTCATCACTCCACTCGCGGATTTCGTCGGCCATCGAGACGCCGCTCGCCCACGTCATGGCCTCGCTCGACGTTGTGCTCTCGCGTGCGCAGGTCGATCCGCACGTGGTGTCGGGCATTCGCGACGCGCTGGCGGCGCTGGGCGCCAAGTCGCTGTACCAAGAGGCGTTTGAGGAGACGGTGCGGTCGTCGGACATGGACACCAACACCAAGGCGTGGCTCCTGGGCCAGGTCCGCAACGCGAATCTCTCTTCAACGCCGGTCAAGCTCGACGCTGAGACGCACAAGCCGTGCATGCTCAACAGCTCTGGCGGCGACCTCAGCTCCGAGTGCTCGGACTTGCTCGAGTCGACGGAAGAGACAATTCTTGACGAACTCGCGTCACTGGAAACCTTTGAGATGCTCACGCTGACGGAGGACGACATGGCGCGGTACCTCGAGGTGATGTTCACCTCGCTCAACGGGCCGAACGTGCTCCACATTGACGTGGAGACGTTCCAGGCGTTCGTCACGGTCATCCGGGACCACTACCGTGACAACGCGTACCACAACTTTAAGCACGCCTTTGACGTCACGCAGTTTGTGCATTGGCTCTTGGTCAAGATCTGCGCGGTCGAGCTCCTCTCGCCTCTCGACGTGATAGCGACGTTCCTGGCGGCGCTGTGCCACGACGTGGACCACCCCGGGCTCAACAACAACTTCCAGATCAACACGGTCTCGCCGCTCGCACTCCGGTACAACGACATGTCTGTGCTTGAGAACCACCACGCTGCCGTGGCGTTCTCGCTCATGCTAGGGTCGACGGAGGCGGCGGGTTCGGGGGCAGTCCCGCTGCTCTCGGGCCTCTCGCGGGCCGAGTTCAAGTCGATGCGCAAAAAGATTGTGACGTGTATTCTCGGCACCGACCTCGCGCAGCACGTGGAGATCATGCGGCGGTGGGAGGAGGTTGCGGTGGGGTATGATGCCGACGTGGCGGCACACCGTGAGCTCCTCGCCGTGATGCTGGTCAAATGTGCCGACATCTCGAACCCGCTGCGGCCGTTTGCGCTCTCCAAGTTCTGGTCGGACATGATCATCGACGAGGGCATCAAGCAAGGCGCGGCAGAAGCTGCGCTCGGGCTGCCAATCTCGCCAGGCATGGATCCAGAGACGGTCAACCAGCCGCAGTTCTCGATTGGGTTTATCGACTATTTTGTGATGCCGTCGTTCCGTGCTCTGGAGCGGGTTCTTCCTGACATCGGCACGCTCGCCATTCCGCTCCTCAGCAAAAATCGCTACCGCTGGCAGACTCTGCTTGACGTCGCCGAGGCTGTTCGCGAGGCACTTGCTCGTGAGCGCGAGCTCATGGCGGAGGCGGCTGCCAAAAGCGACGCTTCAAGCTCGTCGCTGTCGTCATCGGCGGCTTCGTCGCCGGCGGCAAGTACGACAGTACACCTTCCTCCAAGTACCGCGTAAACGCTGCGTCAGCTCTGGTTCTTTACATGACGACACATCCACCGCCGCTCTTTTGGCCCTGGCCCTGACTCTGGCCGTGGGCGGCGGGCGGCGAGGCGGACGGCGAGCCGAACGGTCCCGGCGAGGCAAACGGATTGCCCTGCTGGGCGGCCTGAGGCTGCGGCGAGCCGAAGGGGGCCGGGGCACCAAAGGCCGGGGCGGCCTCTGTGAGGTCGAGGTCGGCTGGGATGACATCGGTGAGCCAGTTGAGCCATGCAGCGCCGAGCGAGTCGGCAGCGTCGTTGTGAGCCTGCCACGGGTCGGCGAGCGGGTCGGCGACAAAGGCAGTGACGGCGTCAGCGTAGGTGGCAGTGGCGGCGGTGACAGCGCGGCCGGCGTTGGCCAGGTGGTACTTGAGAGTGGCGTTGGTGTTTGCGGCGTCAACGGCGCCGACCAGGGCGGCGGACTGGGCAGAGAGCTTCTCGACCTGTTCCGACCAAAGCTCGGGCTCGTACTTGACCTGATGCATGATGAGGAAGACGAGCGAGTCGCGAAGACCCGCGAGGTAGCCGCCGATGTCCGGGTCGTGGATGAGCGAGCGGCCGCGGGCGTCGTCGACGGCAGCGATGACGTCGCGGAACTTGGCGAAGCGAAGGTTTGCTCCGGCGGACTGGAGGGCGGCGGCACGTTCGGCCTCCAGCTTGGCCTCTGCAGCGGCGTTTTCCTGGGCGGCGAGCTCGGCGGCGTGGGCAGCCTTGGCCTCGGCCTCGGACTCTGTGTCTGAAAAGTCAAAGTCTTCGCCGGCCTCGTCGACGGGCAGCGTGTAGTCTGTGACGTCTGTGACGAGGATGTTGACGACCTGAGCAAACTCGACGACGGCGCGAGCATGAACGCCCTGGGCACGCGGCTCGGACGGCTTCTTGGCGTAGACCTTGGCCGACTCAAGGAGGCGAACAGCCTTAGAGGTGACTTCGCGGACGGAGGAGCGGGCGATCTTGCGGTCGTCACGCGAGAGGGCACGCGACATGGAGAGCTTCTCCATGACGCGGACGACACGCTTGATGTTGCGGAGCAGGTCGGCGGCGTAGTCCTCGATGAGGCGCGGGTCGCCGCCGGAGAAGGCGACCTTCTTCACGGCCTTTGTGGCGCGCTTGATGCCCTCTGCGGCGCGCTCCGAGAGGGCGGCCTTGGCCGAGGTAGTGCAGCGGACGCGGAGCGTGCGGTACTTTGTAGACATGAGCGAGGCCGAGTCGACGAGGGCGCCATAGGCCTGAACAATGTCGAGATCTTGGGCGTCGGAGGCGGTGCCGGAGGCGGGGGCGGGGGTGGCGAGAGACGACTTGGCCGGGGTGCCCGCCGACGTTGGGGTGGCACGGACGAGCGAGATGTCGTCGAGGCGGACGGGGGCAGTGGAGCGGGTGTCGGGCGTGCCGGTGACGGAGCGGGCAAACGACTCGCCAAGGCCGACGGCGGGCTCGTAGCTGGCAGCCGATTGCTCAGCGGCCTGCTGCGGTGGGGCGTGGGTCTCTGGCTGGGCAGCATACTCGACCATGGCAACGGTGGCCTTGCGGACGGCAACGGCGAGGGCGGAGGCTGTGCGGACGTGGTCTGCGACGACAGAGGCGACGTGGGGCGAGACCGAGTACTGCTCGAGCACGTTGTGGTCAAAGTTCTTCCAGGCAGCAAGGACGCCAGCTGCGGCGCGATTGCAGCCCTCTGAGACGCCGACATGCTTGGAAGAGGAGGCGAGCTGGTGGAGGATGGACGCGACCTGGTCGACACCCATCATGACGTCGAGCGAGAGGCGCGAGACAGACGACGGGTCGCCGCGGGTCTCCCCGAGCTCGTGCAGGGCGGCGGAGGCGGCACGGGCGGCGCCGGCGGCGCGCTCGAGGAAGGCGCGGTGGACAGAGGCGCGGGAGCGCGACTCGGCGTCGAGCTGCGAGGCGGCCTGGGCGACAAAGCCGGCGACGGAGCGGAGGCGCTCGTAGGCCGAGTCGACAGCCGGGGCAGCAGCAGCGGCGGGCTGCGGCGAGGGCGACGTGTCGGGAAGAGAGTTTGCGGAGAGGGAGTGCAGGACCGGCGAGAGCGGCGGAGTGTCGCCGCGGAGCGAGTCGGGCTGTGGCGCGGCGGCGACGTAGCCCTGCAAGGCCTCGACAAAATCGCGGAGCGGCGGGATGACCGAGGCGTCAACGCGAGCCAGATAGTCGTTGCGGGCAGCAACGTCGTTAGTCTCAGCCCAAGTGGCGATGGAGGCAAAGACGCCCATGCCGGCAGCAGCAACGCGGGCGGCGGCGGTGCGAACAGCAGCGGCGGAGCCTGCATCGGCGACAGCCGCAGTAATGGCGTCCTCGGCAGCGGCAAGGTCCTTGAACTCGTGCACAAAGGTAGGAAAGGCTGAGAGGGTGACGATGGCGTCGGCGTAATCACGGAGCCAGTACTCGAGACCTGCCAGCGGGGCGGTGAAGAGAGGGCGGAGGTCCTGGGCAGCCGGCGCTGGATTGGCCAGTGTCTCCTGCAGGGAAGCCGAGAGCCGAGCGAGGGTGGCGTGGGTGGCCACCGGATCGCTTGCGGATGAAGCTGGAGCAGCAGCAGGCGTAGGCGCAAGCGCAGTGGCAGGCGTAGGTGCAGGCGCAAGCGATGCTGTAGCAGAGCCATCACCGGCAGCAGGAGCAGTTGCGTTGGTCTGGGTCGACGGGGAGGCTGTTGTCCACCCGTCAGCATTGGTGGTCCATGCAAAGGTAGTGGATGAGGTCATAGTGTGGCGAGGGGTAGGAAGGGGTGGGGTGGGGTGTGAGGGGGGGATGGGGGGGGGGAGTGGGGGGGGGGGGGCGGCGGTGGTGGGTGGAGGTGGGTGGCGATTAACCGCCAT